ATGCACAGCTTCTGAAATTGGGGGAGTGGGGAAAGAGCAGGATAAATAATGAGTTAAGACACGATCCCATTTAGCCAAGGCTAGCCTCACACTCATGAGGTAGCTGTGGCTGGCTTTGAACCACTGGGTTCTGCCTCTACCTCCCAAGTATTGGGCTTATATTATAGGCTTGAGCCATGACACCTGGGTAAGCTTCCCTGATTTTTGTCTCGCTATCCAGCTATGGATCACGAGGAGAAAGCAAAACCTACCTCTATCCAACTCGAGAGCATCACCAAGAACGCCTGCTTTTAGCAAGCCCTTAGCAGTTGCCCAAGCTGTCGCTCACACCAAAGCCCTTGCTTTTGTTCCACTATGAAGCATCCTGTGTCCCCTGCCTGCTCTGAAGCCTCTGCCAAGTGCATGTGATAGGGTTGGCTTCCCGCTCTGTAGCACGATACAAAGAGAGGGATCTCCAAGTGTCTCATGGGTGGGAGGGCACACATATGTCTATCTTAGGTGTGTCTTAGGGATGTCTCACACTCCTCCTACCTAGCAGGTCCAGGACACAATCAATCAAGAGAGTTGCGAGACCAGAGAACAATCGAGCAGACAGACACATAGAAGAGTCACATCCAGACACAGAGATCCTCTCCCCAGGCTTACCAGCCATTCACACTGGCTCTATCTGACCCCTTCCCTTGCTCAGGTCCTGCTGTCTTTGTTTCCAAGACATGCTATCATATCTCAGGCTGGCCTCCAACAGGCCAGGTGGCAGAAGATGACTTTGAACTCCTGATCCTCTTACCTCTAGCCCTGGAGTTCTGAGGTCCCAGGCTCAGGTCGCCACAACTGATTTATGCACTTCTAGGGACTGAACCTAAGGTATTCTAGATGGTAGACACTCAGCCAACAAACTGAGCTTCAGACATTGCAGACAAGGTCCTGCCTTTTCATTTCATACAAACTCAGAGAGGGACGTGGGAAGGTAGACTCAAAGATGCCCCGACCCTGGGAAGCCAAGAGCATCATGGAGAGAGTTCTCCCCCGGGGTACCCTTGAGAGCCTGTGAGGCAGGCAGGGGGCAAGTGACATGGAAGCTGTTCTGTCCAAGAGCCCAGACACAGGAGTCTTGTCAACAACGCTGCTACCTCCTCCACCTCCACACACATAGAGCATAGTGTGAGTGTGTGTGCACGCGCTGTTGAAAGAGAAATCACAACAAAGACTTGAGCTCAGAGCCATCTCTCTAAGAGTGGAATGAGCCTTGACTCAAGCACGAGCTTCTCACCCCCCCACACCCCGCTCCCTAGCTCCCGGCCACTACGCCTACAATCCACTGTATGAAATCCAATTAGCAGAGCTGGCTTTCCCTTTGAAACCCCAAGCTGAGGGATAGAGGAGTCAGCAGCTGGTAGGGGCAGAGACGAGAGTTCAAACAGCATCCTTCAACAGGCGTCTGATCCAATGGTACCGGAGAGAGCACAGTGGTGCGAGGTAGCCCTGAGCAGCGTTTCTCCCAAGCTGCTGCTGAGGGCTCTCTGGAATCTCTTCCTCCAGCCCGCACTGTTCTCGAGAAGTATCAATCCCCCTGCCCAGCAGTCTACCCTTCCTGCAGTCTGCCCTTGCCAGCATCTGAGCCCTCGGGGTGCAGGGTAGTGGCAAAGATGAGCATGTTACAACCCAGGGCTCCTTCAAGGAGACACGTGGCTTACTGGCCACCTTTGTTTTCCCACCTCCAGACCCAGGTCTGGAAGACTGTAGGTGCCTGAGTGTTGGACAAACAATAAGAAATGCACATAGGATCTCCCTCTGCCAAAGTGCCATTCCTGGGACCCTGACACCCCTAGCACCTCTCTCTCTAGAAAACAAACATCCAGGATTGGGGGTGTGGCTTACCCAGTACGATAAAGCCAACTCCACAGAAGATGGACATATAATCTCAACACTTAGACAACAGACACAGAGGTTCATAAGGCTAAAGTCTTCTTCAGCCAAATAGAGAGTTGGGTCAGCCTGGATGGACTACATGAGACTTTCTTGGGGTGTAGTGAGGGTTACTGCTGGGCATAACACTACAACTTTTGATCTAATACTGTGGGTCTAAGCCCGGAAGATTCTGCTCTGCAACCTTAGCCAAGTCCTTCTGCGGTGGTTTGAATATACCTCGGGTGGCCATGTTGGAATAGGTGTGGCCTTGGTGGAGGAAATGTGTTGCTGCATAGGCAGGCTTTAAGGACTCCTAGTGCTCAAGACCCACCCAGTGCAGAAGAGAGAGCCTCTACCTGACTGCTGCCTTTGAATCAAAAGGTAGAACTCCTGGACCTTCCAGCCCCATGTCTGCCTGGATGCTGCCATGCTTCCCACCATGATGATAATGGACGGAACCTTTGAACTGTAAGCCAGCCCCAATTAAATGTCATCCTTTATAAGAGCTGCTTTGGCCATGGTGTTTCTTCACAGTAATGAAACCAAAACTAAAACACCTTCCCTCCTTGACTCTCCATCTTCCATGAAGTAGGATGCTAGAGAACACGCCAATACTTTACAAACTAAATCTACACTGCAAATGCATCCCTACCAGCTTTCACGTCACATAAAGCTTGGGGAAATTCTCTCAAACTGCTTATTTAATAATTGCTTATTAAGTAATCCTCGGGAGCCAGCCATGGGAGTGCATGACTATAACCCCAGTGCTTGGAAGGTAAAGAGAGGAAAACCAAAAGTTCGACATCATCTCTGGCTCCATGGTGGGTTTGACAACAGTTTTGGCTACAAAGAGACCCTGTCTCGGGAAAACCAAACTGGATAAATGATCAGAAGAACCGATGCCACCAGCCCACCTTCTTTCGTGACAATCCAGCTGACAGACATACTAGTGGTGGGTCAGTGGGTGAGTCCCCATTACTCCCTACAGCCATGTGCTCAATACAAGTCACTCCTTACTCTCTTAGGCATTTGTGCTGATAAGCCCTGAACTGTGTGGGTCTCAGCTCTGGCTGTCGACACTTCAGAATGGCCTGTATTCATCCTGAGGGCTAGACTCATACTCAGATGGCCCAATTCATCCATCTTGGAGTGATTTTGTGTACAGAGATGTTCCTAGGGTGGTTCTGATTCTGTTGGATTTTAAAGATCTAAAACCATGGGATGCGCTCCCCCAGAGATGCTCATGGACAAGACTCGCTCCAATCGCATGAGGTTTATTGATAAATTGATGTATTGATAGTGGCTGGTGCACTGGGGCCCCTCTGCTCACAGGCGAGAGGGAACCCCGAATTGTAGCTGAGGGCAGCTTATATACTATTTTTACAGAATTTATGAGGGCAGTTATACAAGTACTTCTTTTTTTTTTTTTTTTTTTTTTTTTTGGTTTTTCGAGACAGGGTTTCTCTGTGTAGCCCAGGCTGTCCTGGAACTCACTCTGTAGACCAGGCTGGCCTCGAACTCAGAAATCCGCCTGCCTCTCCCTCCCAAGTGCTGGGATTAAAGGCGTGCGCCACCACCGCCTGGCCCATACAATTACTTCTTAGACATTAACCATACAGGCCAAACTCCAATAGCCGTTCTCAGGCCTGGTTTCCGTTCTCAGGCCCAGTTGTTAAGTAACTCAAATTTGCACCTTATCTTTTACAGCTAACAGGGTCTGCTTAAGCAGCTTCTGTTTACCCAGGTTTTACTGTGTTAAGGGCTCATAAACTCTTATCTTGGGTCTTTCTTCCTAGAATGTTTGTTTGAGTCTTTGAAATGTGCTTCTCCTGGGATGTGTCCCTGGGGGGAAGTTAATATTTGAGTTTAAAACTGAAATCAGAGCTTTTTATTAATTTTAAGTTTCTTCAATTCCAGCTAGGGACATGAGCTAATAGCACCAGAAGCCCGCTGGCTGTGAGGTTGCGCCTCACCTAGGGAAAGAAGCAGACACCAGAAAGGCAGGAAAAGAGAAACTAGCTAGGTCAAAGTACACACACAGGTGCCTCTGGGGAAACAAGCCCCGCCCTAGGCCCCTCTCACTCCCCAGTCACAAGCACTGGGGCTTTTCAGAGACAACTCACTGGGTTCTATAACCTCCACTCCAGCCTCCATGCTCATCCGTATGCACTCTGAGCCCCACCACACCAGTCCTTCCTGCTTGCTGGATCATCCATATCTGTCTCTGCTTTCTTGTTTCCATCCAACATCTGTGGCTCCCTGAGGAAGCCTACTCCACTGAGATCAGGGTGTCTGAGATTTGCCTGCTCATTCCTCATACAGAACCAGTGTTTTATGCTTGTTTCTCCAAACAGAATCATGGACTCTTTCCATATCCTTAACAGACAGAGAGCCCTAGGAGGCAAGATCCCCCCCCTTACTCAGGCATCCTCTGCCTCCTGACCCCTCCTACCCTAGCATCCTACTGTTACACAAGTGTCTAAGCTATGGTCCTGCTCCATGGGCCAGAAGGATGGAGGGAGGGAGTATGACAGTACCACAGTTTCAGCACATCGTGCTCAGCCACCAGAGACGCCATTGCAAAAGATCTACAGTGGTCCACCTGCTGGCCTCCTGCCTAACACCCTCCACGAACCATTTCTACTAACTCTGAGTGCCAGAGAGATAAGCCAACATTGCTGGTACCTGTCACAAACTGCACTGAGAAAGGAACATGAGAGAGAGAGAGAGAGAGAGAGAGAGAGAGAGAGAGAGAGAGAGAGAGAGAGAGAGAGAGAGAGAGCGCCGTGCTAAGGATGATAGGAATGATGAGAAGGGGAACAGTCATTCATGTCCTTGGGCCTGCTGGTCTCGTCAGGTCAGAGAGTCTAGCCAGGACTCACCTTCTTGTCTTCGGTCAATCATACATTCAGTCAGCTGGAAACAGAATTTGACCCAGAGGTTTCCAGGCACAAGTCTATCTTCAAAGGCTATCCTTGGGAATGAGTCTGCTTAAACCAAGGCTAGCTCTAGGGACATTCCCCAGATGGGGTGAGATCCTGAAGGTCAGGGGCTGGCCACACTCTCTTTGCCTGAGCTAGCCCATGTCCTACCTCGAAGCTGATTGAAGGTGGTCATGAACTTGCTGGTGAGGGATTTGAGTTCATTGTTAGCCAGCGTGATGAGGTGGATCTGGTCAGAGACGTTCCTCAGGACCTTGTAGATGCAGATGGGGAAAGAAACAAGCTTGCAGTCGGCCAGGTCTGCAGCAGAAAGGACAAAGACAGAGCAGAACCATGAGACACAGCTGCCCAAGAACCTGCCCAGGCCTATGAGGATGCAGCCCATCCGCCCTCCGCCTTCCACGCTTTCCTGCCTGGGCCATACCCCTATCACCGGTACGGCTCTCTCGTTCCCTTTTCATACTCTGAACCTTGAGTTTGTCTCCATCTCTATTACCACAGCCTAGCAGTACTCCAAGAGACAAAAGAACCTTCGAGTCACAAAGACGATGTCCTTCAGGGAGAAACTATTCTGAACTTTTCCTTACAGAACCGATTCTTTCGGAATCAGACACTTGGCGATGAGGCAGGCTCTTAACAGTACTTGAGGATCGCTTGCACTGGATGCACACAATGCTCAGACTCTGTGTTCTGACCGTCTTCCCAGGACTGGATCAAACAAGCAGCAGCAGAGAACCCGCTGAGCAGAACAGGCTAGCATTCTGCCAGTGGGGATGCCACCTGTCCTAGATAGGGTTTCTATTGCTATGACAAGACAGCATGACCAAAAAGAAAATTAAGTGGCTTACACTTCCACATCACCAACAGAAATTCTGGACAGGAACTCACACAGGGCAGGAACCTGGAGGCAGGAGCTGATCCAGAGGCCATGGAGGGGTGCTGCTTACTGACTTGCTCATCATGGCTTGCTCAGCCTGCTTTTTTATAGAACCCAGAATTATAAAATGTGTTACAGCTGGATCTCATGGAGGCATTTCCTCACCTGAGGCTCCTCCCTCTCTGATGACTCTAGCTTATGTCAAGTTGTCACAAAAGCAGCCAGTACACACCCTTCCTCCACACAAACCCGGGGCCACACAGACAAGTGTCGCCATGCAAGAAAGAAAGAATGTAAGACACACAGATGTCCTTAGTAGCTTTGCTCACAAGGCCTGAAAACAAAATGACACAGCTGGCCACAGACTGAGAAGTAGGTAACATGCCCATAGAAAGGAATATTACTCCTTTTTATAAAAGAAAAAAGAAAAAAAAAAAAAAGAGGAGCCGGGCAGTGGTGGCACACACCTTTAATCCCAGAACTTGGGAGGCAGAGGCAGGTGGATTTCTGAGTTCGAGGCCAGCCTGGTCTACAGAGTGAGTTCCAGGACAGCCAGGGCTACACAGAGAAACCCTGTCTCGAAAAACAAACAAACAAACAAAAAAAAACAAAAAAAGGAAAAAAAAAAGGAGGAGGAAAGGTAGAAAGAAAGAAAGAAAGAAAGGAAGGAAGGAAGGAAGGAAGGAAGGAAGGAAGGAAGGAAGGAAAGGAAGAGGCAGGAAGGCTATAGGGGCTGGGAAAGTGGTGCCGTTGGAAAAGTGTTCACCTTGCAACCACAAGGGCCTGTGTGTGATCCCCAAAGCCCATGGGGTGCAGGGAAGGCAGTTATGGTGGGGTGTGTGTATGATCCCTGTGCTAAGGAGGCTTAGTCCTGCGGCTCACAGGCCAGCCTGGCCTACTTCCTGAGTTAAAGGCCAGGGAGAGATCTCATCTCAAAAAAAAAAAAAAAAAAAGGAAAAATAAATGGATGGTAACAGTAGGAGTTGTCCTCTGACCTTCATATACATGTGCATGTACACCTAAGATCATGCCCCTGCTGACAGAGAAACACCATAACATGGAAGAATCATGAAAACACGGTGCCGAGCCAGAGAAGTCAGCCGTGAGCACCGCACATACTCTGCATACATTAAACAATCCGAACAGCCAAATCTACTCAGACAGCAAGTAGACTGAGGAGCGTCTCCACAGCAAGGGCTGCTGGAGAGAGTCTCCACAGCAAGGGCTGCTGGAGAGAGTCTCCACAGCAAGGGCTGCTGGAGAGAGTCTCTGAGTGGCGGGGGAGGGGTGGGAGGGGAGGGACCGCGCAATGCTCTAAGATTAAATTGTAGCAGCAACGTCCTACCACAGAAAGGGTTTCTTTCTTTTCCTCTTTGCTCTCCTTCCTTCCTCCATTTTCTTCACTGTCTCATACAGCACATGTAGCCTAGCCTCAAACTCACTACGTGGCCAAGGATGACTTTCAACTTCTGATCCTCCTGCATCCACGTCCTAAGGGTTGGGGACACAGGCAGAGCCTTACCACACCCAGTCTCACAGAAGATTGTGGATCTAATCCAGAGCTTTGCATAGGCTGAGGAAATACTCCACCCACTTAGCCACGTGGCGGCCAGGCTCGGGTGATTCACTTCGCATGGATGAGCTATATGGCTCGTGGATGACGGCACACTCCATAAAGCTGGGCGCTCACACAGAGAAACACATGAAGCACAGAGGCTACGCTATTAGGCCATCCGGCTCTCCCAAGCCACTTAAGCTCCCTGTGCCTCAGTTTCCACATTTGTATAAAATGATGGCAGTGGTGTTTGACTGGCAGCTGCCAAGAAGATGAACTGTGATCAAGTCCTAACTCACAAAGGGCCGGGCCGACATACAGATCCCGCCCCCTCTACCCTCCCCTCCTCACTCTGTTCAAACCCTTCATTTGCTTCAAGGCTGGTTCTCCCACACCTCTGCTGGGAATCTTTCTGGAGCTTCCTTATTGCTGGTGATTGGCTTCTGAGCCCTTGGAGCTTTCGGGGACTGTGGCAGCTATACCCCATTTCTTCTCCACAGAAGAGATGGCTCTCTTGGGTTGCCGGGTATTTGCAGATGATTCCAGAATAGATATTCGAAGAGCAACAGTAATCCCAAGCGCCAGCGATAAAGTATGAGTTTTCACACACTGTTGTTTGTCTGCTGTGCAGCCCCGGGAACTGAACCTGCAGCCTTGGGCTTGCTAGGCAAACACTCAACCACTGTGCAGTATTCCCAGTAGGACAATGTGCCTTTTGAAGGTCCTATTCCTAAGAGCAACAATAATACAAAGCGCATGGAAATCATCTTATGATAACCACGATTATGTATCATATAACTAAAGCTCTTTTCATCTCTACTCTTGTTCCAACTCTAAGTCCGAGGGCGTCAGCTCCATGAAGCCTTCTCGCTGCCCTGAGCAGATGTTTGAACAGCTGGAGCCTCATGCGGTAACGCTGAGATCTCTTAATCTTAGGTTTTGTTAGCGCCTTTCTTTTGTCTGTGCTCAGATATATTTAGAATAGGTTTCTATGTGAAGACAGACAATATATTCACTGATGACAAGATAAAATACTTAAATGGTGCTGCATTTTCAAAAGGAATTTTATTTCACTTCTAAGTTATGCATACGTGTGTGTGTCTTTGTGTACATACATGCATGGATGTGCAGGTGCCCGAGAAGATCAGAAGAGGGGGTCAGATCCCCGGAAGTCATAGTTACAGGCAGTTGTGACTCACCCAACCTGGCTGTTGGTAACTGGACTTGGGTCCTCTGCAAGAGCAGTGAAGGGGCTTAACCATTCACTGAGGCATCTTTCCAGCCCATGTTGTCTTTTTCATTTGGTTAGTTTTGGGACAGGTTCTCTCTATGAAGCCCTGCCTGTTCTGGAACTCATTCTGTAAACCAAGCTGGCCTTGAACTCACAGAGATCTGCCTGCCTCTGCCTCCTGAATGCTGGGATTAAAAGTGTTTGCCACCACTGCAATGAACCATGTTGCTGATTTTAAAGGAATGCCTGCCGTGTTTTCTATATAAATCCCATCTCACAATGAGGAAACAGAATAATCTGAGAAACGAGGCAGGGTTACAGTCACTCTCAAAGTCACACTAATTAAGAGAGGCCAAAAGGACAAGTATTGTACAAAGAAAATATTGAGCCCAGAAGAAAACACGTCACAACTTAATAATGCCAATGGGAGCCTTACAAAGGAATTAGGGGGGGAAAGCACTCATCAGCTCCCTCGCTTAATAGCTTGGGGGAAAACAAAAGACTCAAAATCTTTTATCTCCAACAGAAAAATCGGTAGAGTTACTATCTATGTAAGCTCTTAGGCGAAGGTATCTTTCCAAACTTAGATCATTGAACATTAAAAAAAAAAAGGCAGGGGCTGGTGAAGCGACAAAGCAGCTAACGGAGTCTGCTGCTCTTCCAGAGGACCCATGGTTAACTCCCTGTACCTCCATGGCAGCTTCCATCCATCTGTAACTCCAAGAGATCCGATACCCTCGTTGGCCTCCAAGAACACTGCACACACATAGCACATGCAAAGACACACACACACACACACACACACACACCTGAAATCTTTTTAAGAAAAATAAGGCAAACAATGAATTATGCAAAAAGTCTGTAAGATAAATAAGGTAAAAATACTTAGATAATAGTATAAAGAAAAATGAAGACTAATCTATAAATAGAACATAAGATAGCATCAACGGGAAAATATAAGCCAGAAACAAACACACAGCCCTCACATGGATTGCAAGCTGCTCGCTAGAGCTTTGAAGTGTGTAGATCTACTCAGCAATAGGCCTGTGCTTTAAAAGCATACCTTAGTAATAGGACCCGGGGAAGTGGTATCCCTTTGGTCCAATCTGCAATGCTTTGGGTAATGAGACTCATTATATTTCATGGTCAAATAACCACTTGGATTCGCCCTGTGGGACAGTCTGCTCACTTCTTCCGTTATTTTGTATGTGATTCTCGAGGTCTTTCTCCAAAAGCCCAGGAAGAAAGCTCCTTCACCAGTGACTCTCAGCTCTCGGCTGTCAGCCGCTTTCTCATTTTCAGACTTCACACCACGCTTTCCAAATTTCATAGTTTACATTATAGAGCTTAGAGATTTCTTCCTGGTCTTTCTTTTTCTTTTTCTGTACAGGACTAGGCCTCTCCCACACTGTATAGCAGCTGAGTGCACCCTTGAGTATTTTATCCTCCTATGTACCGACCGCTGAGACAGGTGGATGCCGCTATGCTATGCTATGCTATGCTATGCTATGCTATGCTATGCTATGCTATGCTATGCTATGCTATGCTATGCTATGCTATGCTGTGGATGGAACACAGGGTTTCATACCTGCTGGGCAGGATTCTCCGTCTCTAGCCCCAGGGTCAGAATTTTTTTT